GGAATATATCGATCTGAAGCTAACTTTTTGCATTCTGCATGTTTCTGAGATTCATCTATGTTGGTACACATAGCTCTACCACATGCGTTATAACTACTGTGTGATATTTTATCGTGCAAAGATATCACAAGTGGCTTCCTCATGCTCCAGCTTCCTGCACAGGTCTGCTACACAGTACAGCAGTCTCTCAGGTCAGGGTGCTGCATAACCTCCAACTCGCCTCCTCGCCACCTGGCAGTGTGTGAGTTCCCACTGCTCCTCACCCTTGGACATTGGCACCACCGGATTTTAACACTTGTGCAGTCTGGCTGTGAAATGACATCTCATTGTCGGTTTAATCTGCTTTCTGTTGATTCCTAGTAAGACTGAGCATCTTTGTATAGGCGTCTGTCCATTTGGGCTTTCTTTTCTGGGCAGTGATGGACAAGTGTTCCAGGGGCAGCTGCCTTTCTGTATTTCTTATTATAACCCAGCAAAAACAAGCAAATAAACAACCCTATCTTTAGCTGGCTAGGATCAAAAGTGCTAGCTTCTAGTTTGAATATTTGTAATTAGATTCCTAGATAGTTGCCTTTCAAGCTGGAGTCCATACACAATAACTATTATTCATTCATATATATTATATATGCATATACTTTTAAAAAATTTATTTTTGGTGTGGGGGATTGAACCTCGCACAAATAGATCATTTAAACCACCACACATTGTTCTGTTATATACATCTTCCAAAAAATAAACTCATTGGGCCGGGGATTTGGCTCAGTGGTTCCACTGCCTGCCTCGCAAGCGCAAGGGCCCAAGTTTGCTCCCTCATACTAAAAAACAACAACAAAAAAACCCTCATCGAGGTGAATTATTCTTTGAAATATGAAAAAGAACATTCTGGATAATATTGGAGTGCACTGCACATACACTGTGTACAACTAATTTCAAGTATAAATGTGTGTGTGTGTGTGTGTGTGTGTGTGTGTGTGTGTGTGTGTTGTGATGTCAAAAGTATTTTAACTGCAAGTTGTGCTCAAACATTTCTGGAAGCTAGCATTCAAGTTCACTTCCCTGACTCCATTCTTTCTCTTTTCTGAGCTATCCTGCAGGTCACTGCCAAAACAATCTAACTAAATCATTGCTTTTCCCACACCACTTCCCTGCTCAAAAGCCTTCAATTTTCAAAAGGCCAGGCTCAATTTCAATTCCTCAGCATGGCACTGAAAGCACTGTAAAACGGGGCCCTGAGACGGAGTGCCAATTCTCACCAACGAGGCCTCCGCCCAGTCATTATTTACTGCACCCCAATTCACCTCCTGACAGAGTGCATCAAATTCTCTCCACGCATTCCATCTCTCCTCACCTTGTCCGCATTATTCTAACACAGACTCCTCTCTCATTCCCCAGAGAAACAGTACCAACTCACTAAGTCAAAGTTCCGTTAAAATTACATCCACCACTTGAAATCTGTCTTCATGGTGTGATGCTGACATTTAGTGAACAGCTGTCCTTCTGAATTCTGAATATCCAGGCACTGGAGAAAGACAGAGGTTCACTCTTATAGCCTTACACATGCCTCACCCCCAGCATTTTGCAGACATTGGTATTTTGTAAATGCTTAATAGGCATATCAACAAATATTTGTTGAGCATTATGTCTTGCAGCACACTACAGCTGGCCTTGAACTAATGATGCGACCATACCTTGATAAACCCAATGTAAGTTAAAAAGATCTTGGGGAAAAAAGCATTTAATAACCTAACCTACTGAATACCTTAGCTTAGCAACACAGCACCCTCCAGAGCACTGGATGTTTACCCACAGAATTGTGTAGTTAACGCAGAGCTGAACACTGAGCCTGAGGAACACTAATATTTAAGGGACAAACAAGAAGAGCCTATAAAATAAAAAAAGGATCCTATCATAGACCATCTCCACTCATTTCACAGCAGACTCAGGTAGCAGTGTGTCTGCTGGGATTATTTGTTCTGGTACAGATGGAGAAAACAAGGGCTGGGGATTTAGCCACTCCTGCCTCACAAGAGCCAGAATCAGAAACAAAAACAAAAACAACAGATGGAGAAAACAAGACGAGGAAAGGTTAACTGGCAAGTGAACCGGAGTTTGAACACAGCACTCTGCCTCCTAGTTGAATTTATCTGCATTGCCTATAATTTCCTTCTTTCTCAAACTACTGGACCCCCAGGTATAGGAAGATTTCCTCTAGTATACCTTTTTCTCATCATCTGAACCACAGAGCATCATGGTATGTGGCTCTCGGGAAGGCTACAATCACTGGGGACAGCTAAGTTCACTACTCTTCATTCTTTCTCCATACCATAATAAAGACACATATAAACAGGAAGAGAGGGGGTAGGGAACAAAGAGGGAGATTAGAAGGGAGGAAGGGAGACAAAGGAGAGGGCATCTGGCTGACAGCCATTAAGTCAACCAGAGATCTGAAATGTGATCAAACGCTTTCTTCTCTGGGTTGCCTTGTTGAATGGTGAATGAGTGGCTGCATGGATAGTACGGGAAGGCAGCAGGTACTCACTAAATAAACGGAGAGGGTGGGCTACTGCCACAGAGGAAGCAAGGAACAAAAGCCTCTCACTCTTCATGCAAAGTCCACAGTGTGCAAAGGGCATCAATATTGGACATTTCTCACTGTGACATTTTGAAAGCCCAGCCTAGCCCAGAACAATGGTTACTCTTTAGGGACCATGGGCCGTGTGCCCCTAGGCCTTATTTAACGATGGCTGGCACAGCCTATGTACTTGGTGAACTTGACCTTGGACATCAGCCTCTCAGGATGGCTCTACGTCACTCTGGTCTCTTCCTCTACTCAGAATTCCAATCTCAGATGAATAGATGGATTCATTCTGGGAACAGGAAAACCACTCTGGGAGTGAATCAGAAGGATCTAGCCCTGGTCCCCTTGCCAGCCATTGAGCTAGGAACTGAGTGTGATTGTGTGCCCAGGCGCCGGTGCTGGTCCCCTCTCAGAGAGAGAGGGTCAGGGTCCACGCAAGAAATGACGTAGACAGCCTTTAAGTAGAAAGAGAAAGGAATCTCAATTTTGAGGGACAAAGCCACCCTTTTGATTGTGACCCTCTGCCTAAGGAGGTACCAAAATATATTTTGCTAAATTAATTCTTCATAAAAATCTCAGCTCCTAGATAGCTGCCAATTTCGATTCTCTCCAACCTGATGGACTTTAGGAAAATGGGCTGCTAGTTTTTCAGGAAATAAACTTTCTGCAAGCCAGGTGGAAACAACTTGCCTCAGATCACCCAGGAAATCATTTACTGTTAGTGGCCTCTGACCTACTCTTCTCCCAATTAGTGAAAAGATTGATGCAGTTATTAAAATTGTAAATATCACTTTAAACAATATGAAGCACCTGTACTTTCTGCTTTTTACCTCAAAAAACTGGGCAAGATAACTAAAGATTCAAGGTTCAGCAGGTGAGGACAACAACATATCACAGCCTGGGGGACCCAGTCTGACATTTAAAGGAAGAAATTTTCTCCTGGAAAGGGAACTGAAGAATTTCTGCTTTGCCCATCACTAGTTAAGCATTAAGCAACAACAAGATGAGAAAGTTAGCTTTTTAGGGTTTCAGTCCTCTGTTGGCCTCCTAGAGCAAAAGGCAGAGGGAAAAGGAGCAGCTCCTGCTGAGGCTAATTACGGCATTGCTCCAGGGTTCCCTACATGTGATGCCCTGACTGACATTTGTCCACCAATCCCGGTCTAAGAAGCAGGTAGGGAAGGGGACAGACATGGTTTACATCTTACACTAGAGAACTATCCTTGACACTGACTGACATCAACTTCTTCTGGCTACAGCTATCTCCACTAATGGTCATGTTAGCCTGCAAAAACCTTCCTGAAGGATATTCTACTATTTTCATTCATTTGGAACCCATCACAAGCACTTACTTAAACAAGCTAGACTCCGAGGACAGAGAGGCAAACATGTTCCCAATGTTAATGGAACTTAGATTCTAAAAGGGTCAATTCAGCTTCTACATCTCTAGGGGTTAATTTATTCATAAAGTGGGAGTATAGTTAGATCTCCTGAGGTGAGGGTTTGTGGATACATAGTTCCTCAGGCCTGAGGGGAAGGTAAGGTCCTTGACATGGGCAGCCTCTGAGGGAGCCCCAGGAAAGAATGAAAGCCATGGCTCTTTCCTGTGAAGTATGCAACCAGAGCAACGAATAGGGATTGCCTACTAGGCAAACAGTCTTAAAAAATATATTAACCATTAAACATTATGAATTGTCTACTATGTGTCAAGTTTATCATACAGCTCTGCGGCGTTTGGAGTTGTGACTCTACTACTCTAAGATTCCTGGGCTTCTCTTCTCATGGTGTAAGAGTTCCCTTCAGGTTTAGGCTTAACTATGTCCATTTTAGAGGTAGACTAATAAGATCAAAATTCTGTAAATCACTAAATTCCACATTAGAATAGTGAAGCTGGAGTGTAATTCTGGTCCCTTTAAAAAGAGAAGCAAACTTTCTTCGTCTTTTGAAGACGTACCTGACTTCAAATGGTACAAAGGCCAATTAATCTGAAAGTGGGTGGTTTCTGATCAGTAAACTGGGCCCAGACCGCCAAACTGAGAGCCACAGATCTAAGGCGAACACGTGTGGTGGAGTTTCCCAGTGATTTCAACCCAACGGATATTGTTAAAAGAGGAAAAAAAAAAAAGTGTGGGGGGATCATTTACTTGTAGGGGCTGGGAGGAAACAGGTCCCGTTTCTTGGAAAAAGAGAACCAGGAAACATTATCAGACAAGGGGTCCCAGGTTAAGGGGATCCGCTCGCCCGTCTCTGGAGAGTGTGGCCGAGAGGTGGCGACTCCGGGGAAGCACAGAGGAAGACCCCCTGAAGAACCCTGGAGCAGGGGTTGGTGAAGAAAGGACGGGCGCCAGGACTCCGACTTGACACAGGGCCCGGAGCAGGCGAGTCCGGGGACCCACCGGAACCCTGCCACCTGGGCCTCACTCACCAACTCATGTTCCTAAACCTGGGCGGGCGTCAGGATCCCCCGGTGCACCTCAGTCTTCGGGGATCACTTCCGGATTCAGCCAGTCTCCAGGAAGTGACGCGAGACCCGCCCCCTCTGAACGGAAGAGGCGGGTGAGAGGGCGGGGTCCAGCGCGTTAACTCTTTGGCTGCCGCCTGTTCCCTGTGGAGTTTCCCTTGCTCGCGACCTTCGCAGCCTGCCGGGGTTGGGAACGGGATTCCTACTTTAACACCGACTCAAAAGTTCCCTTCTGTAGGACAAACGGGCTCTTAACGGGCTTATCCCCTCTCTGTCCCGAGGTTAATCCAAAGACAGGAACAGCAGTTGTCAATAGAAGGAGCCATTGGAGGAGAAACACTTTGAGGAAGACTTAATTCGTCACATACTCTTTGTATCTCCTAAATATAACACGCTGCTCGTGCATTACCTGTAGCAACCAACACATGGCACATCTCCGTCAAGATGGCTCAGGGCTCTACAGACTGCAATAAAATGAATGGTCCTGGTCTTTCTATCCTTTCATTTAGTAAATGTTAAGCTTCTATAGTGTGACAGGTACTGGGCTAGCCTTCAGGATACAACCATACAAAAGAAGTACTGATTCTGCCCTTGCATCCTCCCAGTTCTACCTTCCCTCAGAAACAGGTAAATAGGCAGCTACAATAATAATAATGAATGTGACAGAACAGGTTGCAGGGGCAGCGTGCCAGGGGGTTCCCTAAACTGAATACGGGGCTTTAGTGGAGGCTTCAGGGGGAGCCAAGGTGGAGTCAGGGGAAGCCAGGTGAATCTGAGATGAGGGCCAGGAGAACTTATCTTGACTAAGAAGAGGATTGAGATTCAGGAAAGCATCTGAGTTGCCATAGGTGTCCCAAGGTAAAATTTCAGAGTTTTAGTTCTTCACAAGCTGTCTGGGGTTTGGGGATGAGATGCCTTCCCCAACCCAAGCAGCCCCATATCTTAGAAGATAGAACAAGGAGTAAAGCTCATGCTGGGCCCCTCAAAACTTTCTCTCTAGGAATTCTCCTTCAAATGAACCCCGAGTGTTTTTAATAGCTGCCTGGGGAGCAGCTAAGCCAATGACCTAGAGCAGAAGATACAGATGGTTCATTCTGACCTTGTAGGGTGGAGTTGAGGGTTCAACCAGGAGGAAAAGGGGAGTTCAGAGTGTGGCCCACAGGAAGTATTCTCTAATTTGTATTTTCTGCTTATGTTCTCAAGGGTTCATAGTTTGACTCAAAAGGTGTTTCCAATGGGAGGTTGATCCCCAAGCACATCATAGATCAGCTTCATCTTCATGCTATTCTTCAAGAAGCAGGCCAACATGAGTACAAGGGCAGCCTTGAAGAGAAAAGGAGAGGCCTTCAGGGAGCAACTTGGGCAGAGATTGTGGGTGAAGAGAGGGTCAATCTGTGCTGCTTTGTAATACGTGTGATGAAGGAGAGCTGTGCATGGTTCTCCTACCTGCTTCCTTCATTCTCCATACTCTGCCTCCCTCAGGTATTGCCCACAGTCATGAATGTTTCCCAAAGTATTAGTTTAGGCCACTTTCACATGCCCAGGGAAGTCTTTTCAGAGTTGGGTTGAGGTAGCAGACATATGTTGTAGGAAGAGAATGGAAGAGTCTGGACTAAGCATCTGGAGGAGTCCAAGGCTCTAGTTCTATCTTTAACACAATGACTCAGGCAAGTAGCATCCTCTGTCCAGGGCTTGGTTCTCTCATTTACAAGAGGAGTGGATAGATAATATTGCCAAAGTCTCCTACATTCAAGTGTCAAGTCCATTGTCATGTTGATTTGACACTCTTGGGAAATATGAGAATAGAGGAGGTAGGTCATCAACAGAGAATCAAGCCCAGAGGACTGAGCAGTTCTGAGCAATCAATGATACCTAGGGATGAAGCTAAATATGAATCTTTCAGGAGGGGAGGTGTTACAGTCTGACTAGAGCCCTGCTGTTTACCAGCCACCTCAAACCTTTAACATAGTCAGCAAGACCTTTGAGGTTACTGGGAAGGACTCTAGCCTCAAGGGTCTATCTGCAAAGTACCTACTCTGAGTAGAGCTTGGTCTCCCTACACTTGCTCAGCTAGAGTGGACAGTCAGGTATCCTGCTATCCTGTGCATACTTGAGTTTTCTCCATGACCTTACCATGCTCAGCTGGAGTGGCACTGGGCTGAGGATGGACAGTAAAGTGTCCTGCTGTTCCATGCACCCACGAGCTCCCCTCCATGACCCTGTCATACTGTGCAACATTGATCCTTGGGAAGCTGAGCACAGGGATGCACACATACCTCCCACTGTTTTGAAAAGTTCAGCCTACAGAACCAGGCACTATGTGTTTCTTCTTTATAACCAAAGGACAGCACAGTACAGACTGATCTTGCCCCTGCAGGGTAGAAATAGGAAAGGAGCAAAGTAGGTTTAAAAGTAGAAGCCTAGAGTGCAGGCCTTTGGGATAGAGGCCGTGCTCCTGGTTTCAAGGTTGGTCAGTACAACACCCTCCCAAAAGTCTGAGCCTGAAGAGTGTTTGAGGGCAAAAGTCTTCTTCAGGAACAAAGCCGTGGGAGAACTGGCTCTGGCATCAGCCCCTGACTCCTCTCTGGCTTTATTTTTCCCTGAGAAATTTGCATGTAGGTGCTTCACATGGGCCCTTGTCTCAGAGCTTGTCATATCCTGCCCTCTTCCAGCTTTTTCTGCTCTGAGAACTAGGGCTGACCCCTAACTTTCACCATGCTAGTCTCTAATTGGCAAAGAACAAGGATTCCAAGAATATGGATCATTAGTGGCTTCATCAAAGGATCAGACTAAGACTAAGGGACTGAATGTGATAGGACCAAATTGACAGCCTGAGCTCCTCACAGCCCTGAAGTCCTTGGTGCCTCAGGGAGGCTCCTGCAGCAGGCCCAGACTATGACCTAGGTCACTGGGTTTCTTCATGGATCCCTGTCCCACTTCTCCCTGCTGTTCACCTATTCAACAAGATGCTCCTGAACCAGAGTTCCCTGGACAGCCAGTGACCAAGGATATGAGAGAAAGAGCAAGGGTGGCAGAAGAAGGGGCTATTAAGATGCATTTCCAGTGCTGAGAATCCCACACTGATTGCTCAAAGGTGAAGTCAGATTGGCAGGCAGCAATTGAAACCAGGAATACCTCTCTGGACCCTGGTTTTTGCCTTCAAGTAGCTTGAGAGTCTATTCATTTCTCTGGGCTCCATCTTTGTTGACCACAATGTGAAGGGTTCACTTAGATCTGGGGTGGCAAATGGGCATCATCCAATGTGCCAACTCAGATTGTTTAGACTGCTTGGAGTGCCATGTTGAGATTCTAGAGAATCTGCCTTTAGTGAGTGAGTTCTGTGATTGATTAACAATGTCTGCCTTGGACAAGTAGTGGAGATGTGATGATCTATATGTTATTATATTATTTTGTTGTCATTTTTCTATTTTGAATTAATAATCAAGCATACTTGTCATGCTGGATGCTATTCTAAGAAGTTCATATTTAATCCTTACACAATTCTATGAGGTAGGCACTCTTGTTATTATTTTACAGATACAGAGGTAGAAGCACAGCCATGGAGTGCTGAAGCAGAGAGTCCTACTTGAGCAAGCTGGCTCTCAACTGACCCTTGTGCTTTTCACCATTAAGGAACGCCCCTTCTCAGTGACTCCTGAGGCTCCTGCTACCTCTGACAACCTATAGTTCTGTTGGTGCCACAAGCCAGTGAACCTATGGAACCAGAAGCAGATCCAGTTCTAAATGATGGGATGACAATGGAAGGAGGGCCAGCACAGGCCAGGCACCTTGCAAGGAAGCCATATTGGGCCTCATCCTGGGAGCTCTCACTGTACATGCTTCCTTCCCTTGGAAAGCTGGGACCAGCAGGTGGCAGCACCTGGCAGGGTGAGTGCAAAGGGCAACTCTTGACTTGGCACGGAATCCTTCAGGGTTCAGACAGTCCACAGTCAAGGCAAGCAAAAACAGTGGAGGGCGTGGAGGAAAGATGGCCAGCTTTCCCCTATTCCCTGGGAAGAGGGCCCGACCTCAGACCCACAGGGAGCTGCCTCTGCCAGTGCTTCAGATCCACCCAGCAGCGGGAGCCTCTCAGCTTGCATTTCATGGTGCCTGCTGTGGGCTTTTTTTTTCCTCCACTCTGGGAGAATGACTAACTTTAAGGACTAAAAAAAAAAAGTGTTTTGATTACACTGCCTTTTTACCAACTGGGAGCATTAGTCACCGTGGATTGCTGCAGATAACGGGGAAGGCAAGCAGCGTCCCCCTCCTCCCCCTCCTTCTCTCTGATTAGCTCACAGGCCCAGGGAAGAGACTGCAAGTGTACCCGGGAGGAAAACAATCCCCCTGGACCATGTATTCCCCAGGCATCTGGCCAAGGGCTGCTGGGTGCTAGGTTGGGGGTGGGTAGTTCCTGACAGTAGGCTCTGTGGTAGGAGCAGATCCGCAATAGGAAGGCCCAGGCCCACATTAGGAGGCTCTCACTGGCAGGAAGACCACTGAGTTGTGGCCCTAAGGTCTGAGATGGCTCTGGGTGGCCTGTTTCCCTAAGTAGGCCCAGGATATACCCAGGAAGGGGAAATGGGAGATAGTCACTGAAGTTATAGCTTCAGGCATGGGGCCACAAGGACTGCGATGTGGGGCTGGTGCTCTGACCCAGGTGTTGCTAACAACTGTTGCCTGGAGTTTGTGCCCTGGGGACCCCTGGGGTTGAGAAGTTGCTGGCAAGTGAAGATGGCATACATGTCCCACTCCTTACCCATCAGCATCCTCCCTTCTCTGTCCTTCTTTGCTCCTGTCTAGGTGCTGTGGGACAGTAGGGCCAAGGCTCTTTCTTGGTCTGGCCTTTTGGCCCAGGCTGCCAGCTGTGGGTCTTGCTGGGGAGACCTGAAGCAGGGAGGGGTGGCACTAAGCTGCTTGAGGGACAGGCTGGACTCATGAGCACTGGCCTGACAGCCCAGCCCTTCTGCTCTAGGAGTGCTCCACTCTGGAAAGAAGACATATATCTGAGAAGCCCTTCGAGTGGCAGGGCCGTGAATATTTGGGTGAAGAATTTAAAGCATT